AAATCGACTAAGCCGGCTAAGCCGATAAAATTTTATCGACTTAGCCGGTCGAAAAATTTTGATCGGCCAGGATCACTATAATTATATATCAAATAGTTATTTTTATAAATACGATGCTTAATTGTCAACTTGACAATTAAGCATCGTATTTATAAAAATAACTATTTGATATATAATTATTTTAAAAAATTTCAAAATCTAATTGGTTAGCCCGAAGCCACCTTTCCCCCCATATGATGAACCCAATATCTTTTCAAATTATTCGATGATAGATGTTTGTATCATATTGAAAATAAAATACCCACAAAAAATAAAAAAGGAAAGATCTACTCATAATGCTGACCAATCAAATGCAAGAGATCGCGACTTTGACGAACAAGGTTTTGATAGAGATCAAGGTTTTGATGATACGTAGACAGAGTTCTAAATTCTGACGCCATGTTAGATCATTAATATGTTAACTTGTATCGAACAGGTAATCCTGTTTATTGTCAGAATTAATACCGATATGTTGACTTGTACTATTTTGATAATCCATTTATGACATTTGTTTGTATCTATGTACGTATGTACAAGAAAGAGATACTACAAATAAATGTTTTGACTAATTTGTAAATTATGTTATCCGACTGATCATAAATTTATTTATTTGTTCGAATGAATCTACCATTTTACGTAATTTGTACCTACCAAAAAATTTAAAGTTTAAGTAATAATAGTTAAATATTTTATTAAGCAAAAGTTGTTTTAGCCTCTAACCAAAGTATTAGAGGCTATTATTATGATTCAAATGATACCAAAATCGCTAAAATTGGTCCATTTAATCATGAAATAAAAGCATTTAAATCTTCGCGAATATTTAAAAACTTAATGTACCTACCATATAATCGCGAAATAAAAATACATATATCTCGTGATATAGTAGATCACTTTTAGTGATTTTAGTTTTTATTGGAATTGAAATAATGATCTCTAAAACTTTAATTAGAGGTAAAATAAGATATATTTAGTAAGATAGCTTGCAAAATTGCATTTTATAAAATATTAAAAACGCATTTTCCGGATATTTTACTAAGTAAATGTTCCTTGCACCTCTAATTAAAGTTTTAGAGATCATTATTTCAATTCCAATAAAATCAAAATCGCTAAAATTGGCCTGGCAGATCGAGAGATATATATGATATGTATTTTTATTTCGCGATTATATGTTAGGTACAGTAGGTTTTTATATATTCGCGAAGATTTAAATGCTTTTATTTCGCGATCCAATGGACCAATTTTAGCAATTTTGGTACCATTTGAATAATAATAATGGCCTCTAAAACTTTGGTTCGAGGCTAAAACAACTTTTGCTTAATAAAATATTTAGCTATTGTTACTTAAACTTTAAATTTTTGGTAGGTATAAATCACGTGAAATGATAGGTGTCCGTAGACTTATAATTATATTTATATATAGATATCAAGAATAGAATTTATGCAATATGTAGATCATATGTAAACGTATATGGCTTTAATCGACCCCCATAATAATTAGGGATGGGCGAATTTTTTACATAATCTTATACGTATCGATATATTATTACTTTGCCGAATAGGTAATAATGAGAAATTATACGTACGTACTGTACGTATAATCAAATATTTAATAATTTTATTTGGTGATCGATTTCTCTTAAAAATTATGTAATGATTTACAAAGTATGTAACGATTAAAAAATACATAAAAAATTATATTGCCCATCTCTAATAATAATACATAATAAGTAAGTGCCCGGAGTGATCTTTATTTAAATTTTGTATATTATCATTAAAATGTTATTATAAATACTAAACTACGCTCTACACCGATTATTATATCTATTACTCTTCCGTAACTTCCCACCTGACGTGGGGGTGTTGCACATCAAAAGATTTAGTATCATAGTGCAGCGCTACATGTAATTTACACTAAGATTCTTCATCAATTATAAAAATCACGTATCTTTAAAATGTTCTAACTCCCGTTCTAAAAAACCAAATTCAATTCTGTAATTTGCAAATGAAATTAGAATACGTAGTGTAGTTTTAAACTATATTGAGACATTTTTAAATTTATTATGTTAATATAATTAAAAGATCAAGTGTTTTTTAGTTGTGAATTTTATTCACGATTTATAAGTTTATACTACGTATAGAGGCCCGAAGTATTTACATATAATTCTTAAATGTCACAACATAGTTTTATAGCCACACTATCCAAATATTATTTACAAGTTGCAATTGAATTTTCTTCACTAGTGCAAGAGTTAGAACGTTTTAAATATAAATTTAAGTATAATATATATAATACAGTATATATAATATTTAATATATTATTTAATTTAAATCATACTTAAAACGTTCTAACTCTAGAACTAGTAAAACAAATTCAATTCTGAAACTTGTAAATGATATTTGGATAGTGTGGTTATAAAACTATGTTGCGACATCTAAGAATTATATGTAAATATTTTGGTCCTCTATAGTATAAACTTATAAATTGTAAATATTTTACTATTAAAATTCATGACTAAAAAACCTTCTAATTATATTAACAAAATAAATTTAAATAATTTTAAAACTACACTATTCTGATATCATTTTGCAAATTACAGAATTGAATTTGCTTTTCTAGAACGGGAGTTAGAACGTTTTAAAGATACGTGATTTTTATAATTGATGAATAAAATGATCGTACTAAATCATTTGATGATTGGAACCTTGTTTTGCATGGTTAGCTTAATTTCACATATAAACCTTATCTTGCAAATAAAATAGCATATCTTAATAAGATTACAAAATTTTCTGAAATAAATAATAAAAATACTTCAAAACTTTGACTGTTAATTTGTTTGAAGAAAAAAAAAAGTATAAACCATCATTATGCGATATCTATCGTTCAGTGCCAATTTAGTAAAGTGAAAAGAAGAAGTTAAACTCGAAATCTATCTATAGTATATTCGCAAAGTTAAATAGAATACTAGTACAAAATGATATGATTTTAGAAAATGGAATATTTAATGATATTTTTATTAGACTATGCCAAGAAATGCATCAACTTTTTATAGAAGCAAGTAACCATCATTTGCAACTTATCAGTAACTCTTAGGAGCTTATCATTATTGTTAGATATAGATTTACAATCATCTTATCGTTATGTAAAAAAAAATTTAGTTGTATAAATACCTTTATATAATGTTGTTAGTAAGCCTGTGCTTAGTTTTATAGTTTATTTTAATATGTTGTAAATTTAAATTCTTTAGTAATTTCTTTAATTATAACAAATGTCATTAAAACAAATACTGAAATTGCTGGCTAGAGCGAAGTACAAGTTCTGATTTGATTAGATTTGAACTAGGTGTGTTAGGCAAATCCTAATTATTTATTTTAAATCATTTGAAAATTCGAATTTAGATTTTGATAAATTTGAATTTAATAATTAAATCTGAATTTGAATTTCAAAAACAAATAAGTTAGTAGCAATTGCTCTAGAAGATCAAGAAGACAATATAATCTTTTTTCGATCTAATTCTTTTCAGCAAGTTGAGAGGGTGATTTGAAAATTTTAAAAAGCAGACAAAGCTAAAAGCAATTATAAAATTTCCAAATTAAATATCAAATTTACAACCGAATATTCGAGTAAACTAAATAATTCAAATTAAATTCGAATTTACAAATTCAAAAATCAAAAATCTAGTACTCGAATTTGCAAAACAAATTAAAAAAAATTCAAATCTGATCTTTACGTTATAATTAAATGTGTATAAAGAAGTCTTTAATCAAAAGTTATAAAGCATTTTTAGCAATAATATTCAAAAAAAAAGTTTTTATTAAAAACAGAATTCTTTTTTGTTTTCTTTTTTGCTAGCAAAATTTTATCAGTATTATTTTTTTATATTTAAATTCTTTAACATTGTATCAACTTATTTGTTTTTAAGTTTTTAATTTCTTGTCGACATTATTATTAAGAAGGAATTAGATTCTATTATAATTTGACTTTTCTTCATTTTCTTATTGTTTTGCTAATTATAGACATATGAACTAATGTAATGAAAAATATCTATGTCTTCAAGAACATTAAATATTATTTAGAGAACATTAAATTTAAACATTATGTTCCAAATTTGAAAAAAAGCTAATTTTGAATGTGATCTAAATAGTAGAACTGATTACTTTTAACTCTAGTCAAATTTGCAGATCATTTGACAAGATAAAAAACTGAATTTGGCCGAATGATCTGCAAATTTGATCACAATCAAATTTAGCATTGAAGCTGCCGCACAAAAAATGCGCGGATGATCCTCGATTTTGATTGGCTAACGGCCGTAGATCTGCAAAATTTTGGTCCGCATTACATAATTGTTTACTCAATTCTGGCCGGAATTAACTTTTTAACTTTTTCATTCTAAAAATATAAATTTTCAAAGAAATAGGCCCGCGCTATGCTAAAATCAGCCCAGGAACAATTTTCACTTAATACGCAGCAGTGATTTCATTAGTAAAATTTTGAGTAATTCCGGCCAAAATTTTGATCGTCGCTCTTAGCCAATCAAAATCGAGGATCATCCGCGCATTTTTGTGCGGCAGCTAGGTTCAATTCTAATAACGTGATTAACAGCCAATCAAACTGTAGATCTTGATCGACCCAATTTACGAGACAAAAAAAAAAGATTAAACTTTGTCTATGTCGAAGCACAAGAAAAATTGAGAAGTACTTTTAACGAGCAAGAATAAATTCAAACCGATGAAAAGGAAATGAATAATTTGAACAAATAATAATCAATACGCAACTTAGAAACAACTCGTATAGTCCCATAGAATTATTATTGCAAAGATTTGATATCAATAGAAAAAAATTAAATTGTTATGGCTTATTCCATTCCTGCTGCATCTTTGGGTGACAACATAATTTCGCTAATATTCAACGAAGTATAGGCTTCTAATTTAAACTTAGTTACGTAACTTTTTTTAGGGGTATAAGTTACAAGGAAGGTTTGTAACATTAGGCCATACAAAGATAATTTTCTGGTTCTCATAACCCGGTTGGGTGGCTCTTATATATGTAAAATTTTCTGTCGTACCATTTTTAACATTTTATTTTATGAATGACCTTACCTTATTATAAAATACTCTGTCATAATAATTTTTTTATTTTTCTTTCTTGAGCAGTAATAACTTTCAAAATACAGTATTATAATTTTTTTACTACAAAAACTTATTAAGGTTTCTATTTATTTAATACTATAGTATATAAAGAACTAGAACAACCTCATGTCTTATTCGACATAGCATCTTCCGACACAAATCTATTAGTTATAAAAAATATCGAATGCCACACTAAATTTCCTTTACTATTTATTATTAGTACAGATTTATGTGTGATAAACTGTTTATT